GGGCACTCCTGGCCATGGCGCTTTGTGGGGCTTTGATCCCGAGCAGGCTTCCCTGCCCGTCCCTGCCCACTGACACTGCAACCCCAGCGGGGCGACAAGCTCTTCCCCAGGGCTGCTGCAACGTCCTCTGACAGCCTGACACTGCGTGTGCCAGCCTGTGGGTGCTCCCTGACAGTCTGAGCCACACTCTCCGGTTTGGTGACATCCCCGGCAGCCCAATACCACGCTTGCCATAGTTTGCTGATGCTCCCTAGCAGCCTGACACTGCGCTCTCTTTAACATGCGACCATGTAAAAAAGCAACAGCTCGTTTGATTTATGATACTTCAGAACAACTAAGATTCAATTGCTCCGCACGTCCCCAGCTCTGATTACCTCCTAAATGAGATAAACTGATGGCAATTTATCCCCAGACCTCACCAACTTTCCCAGGATGCTAACCTGCGACGCTCGTGCCCTGCACATGCAGCTCTGGGCTGGACGCGTCCGAAGGCAGCCTGGCTGCAGCCCAAGCTCCTCCAGGCTCTCCTGCTGCTGCGCGTGCAACGCGGCGTGGAGCCCGACGCCATGCCTGGCCCGACGCAGCTGCTGAGGTCTCCTGGCAGGAGGCTTTGGGGGTCCTGGCAGCGGGTGCTCCCCACACCAGCACAGCCATGGTCACTGGGCTGTCCCCCTTGCTCCTCCCAGGGCAGTGAACCCTCCGCAGCGGGATGAGCAGCACGAGGGCTGGCAGCTCTACCACAGAGCACGGCAGCCCTGCTCTGTGCACAGAGGCTTCTACATTTGCACCGTGTTGACTACGCAGAAGCAAAAGGCTCAGATTATCCTGCTGTGAAAAAAAAGCTGTAACGGTTCCAAAGCAGCTAGGAGAGATTCAAGGAGGAATCAGACATACTTATGGACACCAGCCCATGGCGGTGTAAGTCATCAGCCATGCCGTGATGTGGGGCAATGCTCAGCCCCGGGTTCACAGCTGGAACCAGTCGCTGACCATTAAGGCGTCAGGACAGGACCTCACACAGCAGCTCATTATCTCATATTTGCTTGCTGCCCATTTCCACCTCTAACGCAAGCTGCCGGGCAGGACAGCGACCCAGCTGTGACTGCAGCCTGGTGCTCGCCCGAGCGCCCTGGAAGCAGACAACACCAGCATCACCCCCAGAGCCGCTCCTCTCCATCTGCCCTGGGCTGCCTGGTCCTAGTGACGAGCAGCTGCGGCGCCCTGAACTGCACCAGCTCTGGGGAGCTGCCCCAGCGCTGGGAGCTGGAGAGACAGACAGCTGCTGGGAGCAGAGAGACAGACCGAGCTGCTGGGAGCGGAGAGACAAACCGAGCTGCTGGGAGCTGGAGACAGGCCGAGCCACCCAAGGAGGGTGCCACAGGCAGGGAGAGCCAGTGCCCACCAGACGGGTGGCAGGCAGGGGACCGTCCTTTTTTTACAGCTCTGCTTTGTGTACTAAGCACAGGGATGCCAAGGACCCTTTCCAGACAGAGACATCCCCCTCTTCCCAAAACGGGGTGCACAGATCTTTGTGACCGAACCATCAGAGTGGCTATAGCCGGACCAAGCTGTGACCCTCTGAGCGCATGTGGCCTCCAGGCAGCAGCAGTGGCCAGCTCCTGTGGACACGGAGCACGGTGCCACCAGCTCGGGTGCTGCCCGTAGCCCCTCCAGACCTGCAGAGCCTGCAGCCTGGCCTCCCAGGAGGTGCTGATGCAGGGCAACCCACAAGGGCGACAGAACTGGCCCAGCCTTTGGCAGCCCAGTTTTGCAATCATCAGATCAGTTTTCTAATACGCTAGGTTACATAAAAAATAAATGCAAGGTCGGTTTTTGAAAAGTCAACCCAAAAGCCAGAAACCTCACTGCCCGATACCCCATGCAGAAGACATCCTGGCCCAGCGTGTGCCTGGGAGCAGCAGGCTCCTGTCATTTCTGCCTGACAGCAGCGCTGAGCCAGTGGATACTACACCCGTCTACCAACTGGGGAAGGACACAGGGACTTGGAGAGACCAGATCCAAGCTGGAGACACGGAGGTCGGATTGCTCATGGGACTTCAGATCACAGATGCCCTGCTCTGCCCTGCCGCGCTCTCCTCACTCCTCGCAGTGGTCTCCTCGCTGCTCCCTTCCCGCTGCCGCGCTGGAGCAGGCAAAGCAGCCTGCTGCCACGTGTCCCAGAGTGGCAGCGCCGCGGATCTCCGGGGAGGTATCTCTCCTGCTCTGGGTTCTGGTGCCAGAGGCTGCTGGCAGCAGGAGGAGCAACTGCGCGCGAGGTCTGTGCAGTGACAAATGAAGTTTGGTAAGTGACACTTTGCTGGCAAATGAAGTTCTGTGTTGATAAATGCGAAGTAATGCACATTGTAGGAGAAAATGACATTACTCCTGCACCTGACATGGCTCTAAATTAACTGTATCAGCCCAAGACAGGGCCTGGATATCACTGCGGATAGCACAAGACCTCTGCCTAGCACACCACCATGGTCAAGGACCAGGGCAGGGAATATCCCAGAATCCCAGACTGGCAGGGGTTGGCAGGGCCCTCGGGAGCTCACCCAGCCCACCCCCCTGCCCAAGCAGGCTCACCCAGAGCAGGGGGCACAGGACAGCGGCCAGGCGGGG